GATAACAGTTGTATGAGCCCCTAATAAAATGTTTAAAAAAGAAAAAAGAAAATTGCAAGTGTATGGTTATTTAATTTGCCAATTATTGGGCAGTATAATTCTTAACCATCATGATAATTTGTGAATTATTCACAAATGTAAAAAACAAGATTGTTAGATTTCTTTTGCCTTTTTTCCTCCTATAGCCATTTTCCAATTCTGAATTCACATTCTTTTAATTAAAAAGTATAATGAAATACGACAAACTTACTCTTTGTTCTTTATCCCCTATCAAACACACAGATCTAAGTGTTGGTACCCATCTCTTGAACTCGCTCATCCAATTGTGTAATGTTGACTTAGGAACTAAAACCATGTGAGGTCCAGGAATGTTTCTATAATGCTTCATGTACCCAAGAAGAGAAATTGTTTGAAGAGTCTTTCCCAGGCCCTGCAAGATTTCAAAACAAGCACAATAAAATAAGCAAAACCACAATTTCACATTTAAACCTTTGTGTGTGTACATGTATCTATATATGATGTTACAAAATAAAAAATATTTGTAATAGCTAACATGAAGGACATGAAGGATCTTAATGTGTTCAATTATAAGTGTTACATAATTTAATCTTTGTTAAGTCTATGAAGGGAAGTACTATTATCATCATCCACTTAAGGCCCAGAAAGTTTAATTAAGTAATTTCCCAGGGTCACCCAGCAGAGCTAGAACTGAATCCTTCACTTCTTGACTCCATACCTTTCCCAAGCAAGTACTTTTAGCACTACATGTCACAAAAAATATTTAAACATTATACAAATAGTAACAAACATACAAGAATTAAAATATTTTAAAATATATGAAACAACTCTTAAGAGTTGGCATCGTGGGAAAAATTATTTATTGCTGATAAATATTTGAAGACCTCACTTTTTAAAATGGATAAAATATTCAAACTTGCTATTAACAGTTTACTTTTTTTGCATAAATGGTATTATTTACAAAATCTAAACAAAAGTCTATTTCTCACAATAAATTTAGAAAACTAATACTTGCAGATGATTAATTCCTCGTACTTAGAGATCCTACTTATGCAGTCAAACTAGTATAATAGTCTAAGGGTAAATTTGGTAATGTCCTAGATTGGCAATATTAATAACAAAGTTTTCATAAACTCAATGGTCTAACATATTTTGCAAAATAATCCCCTTTCCCCACAAATTTACTTCTTAAAAAAGACATAAATCACATACCATTTCATCTGCAAGGATACCATTGATGCCATTTTCATATAAAGATATAAGCCAATTTAATCCTCGGACCTGATAATCTCTCAATTTACCCCATTTCACATCTGAAAATAGAAGGGGAAAAGACATCTTTAAAGAAAAAAAATACAAATAATCAAGTGACTTCCAACTGTTTTAACTTGGGGGTACACATGACTACTCTGACTTTCCTATCTTCTAGACACTTGGCAAGTTGTAGGTCACAAAACATTTTTGTATCAGTTTGTAATAGAGCAGTGCTGTGATCCTAGAAGCTATACCATTAGATCATAGTCAAAACCAGCAGGGTTGTCTACGATAGACAGGTTTCAGCACAGCTCTCAGACTACAAATAAAAACCTAGAAAAACACTTGTTAAAAAGTTGGCCGTTATGAGCCCCTAATAAAAAGATTAAAAAAAAAAAAGTTGGCCACCAAAAACCTGATTGGTATCAGAACAGAGTCAGATATAGTGACAGAAGAGGGCCTCTTAAGTTGGAACCTATCAAAGTACGACTGGGGAAAAGCTGCCTCCACAAATTAGTCCACCTTAATGATGTGGATGGAGTAAAGCTCTTAGGACCTTTGTTTACTGATGGTATAAAAACCAGAAATGGAAATTGCAGAATAGGATCTTAAAAAATTGGAATTGTAAAAATGGAACTCCCGAAGACTGAAAATGACTGGTGTTGGACATTTTTAAGCAATCATACAATCTAGTATGTCAGGAATGACAACTTGAAGTAGAATGGTGTTTAGTTCATAAGCATTGGGATAATGAATTACTGTAGATGCAGTTAAACTAAAATTTAGCACCCTAGCATTTGAATTCCCTTATGAACCATTTAAATTTTGCTTTAGTTTTTAATATTTTGCTTTTTCAAAATAGGTTTTTGTTTGTTTTATGTTTTTCTGTGTCATACCAATCCAGGACAGGTAAATCTAGAGACAGTAAACGGATTAATAGTTCCTTGTGGGCATGACAAGGGAGACTGGACGGAAATGGGAATCTACTAACAAGGAATACAAGAATGAAGAAAATGTTTTAAAACTGATTGAGATGATAACTGTATAACTCCTCTTCATGTGACTGAACTGTTGGATTAAATTATATGAATTACATAAAGCAATCAAACAGTTTTTAAAATTTGAATAAATAAGGACCAGTGACAAGTGGAATTTAATTAAAAAAAAGGGCAGTACAAGATGGAATTCACAGGGATTTAATTGACCACTTCTGTGAAAAGAGATGATGAAGTTTGGTTTCATCAGTCAGATTAAGGTGAGGGTCGGTCTACTAATCAGATCATAAATCTGATGTAACGAACACTAATGACCAATACTCAAGTTGTTGGATGGGATCAGGACATCATACATAAAGAAAACAGTGCAATTTAAAAGATAGGAAAGAAACATCCAAAGTGGGTGTAGCAAGAGACTGTGAAGCTTGCTTTTTAACGCAGAGTAGTCAAGGCAAAAGGGCGAAATGATAGAATAAATTTGCTGAACAAAGAATTTCAAAAGGGGGATGGAGAAGAGAGTATCGTAATGAAATATGCAAAGACCGACATAGAAAACACAAAGAAAGAAAATGCTCAGCATTTCTCAAGGTACCAGAACTAGACATGTGAGCCGAGACTTGAATGACACAGAAAGCACCAAGACGGTCGGACCACAAAGTCACTACACCAAAAAGAACTTGTCGACAGATAACTGTTTCAGGAGGCAGCCTATCATCAAGAACCAATGGTAAAGAAAAAAGGTCAGTAATGACTGAATACCAATGGAAATATTCCAACAAATTGATGCACCGCTAGAAGCACTCACCATGCTATGCTTAGAAATCTGAAGACAACGTACTGGACGAGATCTTTATTTGTGCCCATTACACAGAAAAAAAGTATTTGATAAAATGAAGAAAGTATCAAACAGTGTCATTAACAATCACACAAAAATAAAATTTTGCTAAAGATATTCAAAAGGAGTTACAGCAGTACACTGATAGACTGTCAGAGGCTCCAAAAAATTTAGAAGAGGATTTGGAACAAAGGGTATGACTGCTGTCTGACTAATCTGAGCTGAAAGCAGAAAATAACCTGAAAGCTGGTTACACCTGTTTTATTGACGACAAAGGTATTTAACTAATCTCCTTGAGGGTCTTCCTCTTTTTTTGCAAGCCTTCTACTGTACTGAGGTGCTGTTGATTTTGAACTGCCAACCATGCAGATTACAGACCACCATACCACCAGTGCTAGGTACTAGGTATGAATAATGAATAAGATTCAGTCCTGTCCTAAGGCATTTATCGCTGAATAAGGGATAAAGATAATTAGACAATTACAATACAGGATCATATATGCTCACAGAATTAATTACAGGGTACTTGGCACAACCCAGTATGATGCCTCTTTTCACAAACTTTTATCTCCTGACTTGGAGCCCCGAATGGCATAGTAGTTTTGTGTTGGGCTGCTAACCACAAGGTCAGTAGTTTAAAACCACCAGCTTCTCCTTGGGAGTAAAATCAAGGCTTTCTTTCCTACTCCTATCAAAATTTAGTCGCTGAAACCCACAGGGGCAGTTCTACACTGTCCAATAAGATCACTGAATTGGAATTGACTTGATGGCAGTGAGTTTGGTTTTTGGTTTGGTCCCTCCTTATAACATGCTCAAAATATGAGACTACGTCTTGCCATCCTTTCTTCTTAGGAGTATTCTGGTTATACTTCTTAAAAGACAGGTTTGTTTGTTCTTCTAACATTCCACAGTACTTTCAATATTCTTCACTACCACCATAACCCAAAGGCATCTAGTCTTCTGTGGTCTTCCTTATTCAGGGTCAACTTACACATGCGTATGAGGAGACTAAAAATACCATGTCTTGCGTCAGGCTCAAGTTAGTCCTCAAAGTGACTTCTGATTATCTTCAACACTTTTACATAGATCTTGTGCTGATTTACCCAATGTAATATGTTGCTTGATTTCTCGAGTGCTCCTTCCATAAGCATTGACTAGGGATCCCTAAGGTGAAAACCCTACAAATAGCAGCATTATGGGTAATTTTAAAGAATGGAAATTCCAAGACAACTGTGCTTTTGCAAAGCCTGTACATAGACCAGGGCAGTCATTCAAACAGAACAAAGGGATATTACATGGTTTAAGATCAATTCGATCTGTATACTGAGCATATCACCTGAGAAACTGACCATTTAAAAAAGACCATGATGACTAACAACAACTGAGCTATGCAGATGATACTACAACATCTGAAAGTGAGAGGACCTGGGCATTTATTGTTGAAATCAGACTGGCTGTCAGTATGAGTTACATCTCACCGTAGTGAAAACAAAAATCCTCACACAACTGGACCATTGAGAAATATCAGGACAACTAAGAAATGATTGACGTTATCAAGGATTTCATTTTATTTGGAATTAAAAGCAATGCTCACACAAGCAGCAATCAAGAAATCAAATATATTGTATTGGGAAAATCCACTGAAAAAATGAAAAATCATTAATAGGAATATGATAAGCCTGACCTAAACAATAGTATGTTCAATTGCCTCGTATGCATGAGACTGCAGGACAGTAAGACCAATGAAGAACTGATGCCCTTGGAATATGACGCTGGCAAAGAACACTAAATACACCAGGGGGTGCCAGAAGAACAAACCTGTCTTAGAAGTATGGCCAAAATGCTCCTTAGAAATGAGGACGGTGAGACTTCACTTCATGTATTTTGGACATGATATCAGGAGGAACCAGTCCCTGCAGGAGGACATCATGCCTGCTAAGTTAAGAGTGTCAGCAAATTTTAAAAGGAAGACCTTTTTAGATTCACACACACAGCAGCTACCAAAACAGACTGAAACATAACGAGTATAAGGAATGACAGGACCAGCCAGTGCTTAAATGTTGTGTGAAGGGGATCACTGTGAGTCAGAGCCGACTTGAGGTCATGGATAATTCACTAGAAGTCGCTGCTATAATCCTGAGTAAAGTAGGTGTAATGGCTATGAAAGATAAACAAGGAATCATAAGTGTCGGAGCACCCACCCTGAAATTGTTTCTTATTTACAGGCATCAGAGTACTATTCCAGTCACTCAGTTCTCATATTCTGGTCCTACATACTGACTGATCTTTATCATTTCCTTTTTAATGCCATTACAAGTGTTTCTAAGCAAAGTTAGATCCTTTCAAAAAGACATAGGGGTTCTCTGGTGATTTTGATCTCCTCCTTATAAACATAAAATAAATTCTGTTTTTAAAAATCCTGCAGAAACACATCTCTTTCAGGGTTTTTTATATATCGGCCAGTATCCCAGGCTAATTACCAAGCATACGCTCCACAATTACCAGCGTTATTTTTGTGTTTTTATTACTGTTTTCTCTAAGTCATACATTCTCCAGTCTCTACTGAATACCATTCCAATAAAAAGCCAACCAATACTAGGGAAATTAATGACAAAGCAGGAATGCAACAGTATAATACCTCACCTCTAGCATCATACAAACTGATTATTCGGTACCCAAAACAAAGCCGTAAAACAGACTGAATGAATTTCTAACCAGACACCTGACTACAGTTCAGTTTGCAACAAACCCTAGGGTATGGTACAAATAACCATTCCCTATATAAACCTTTATAAATCATTTTATGCTTACAACTCTTGTAATAGCACAAACTGCTCTTCAAAACCAGGAACAAAAACTGTTGGGCTTCAGCAAAAACAAAGGGAAGTTTCTGTGCCACCTATCAAAATTATAAATAAAGCTTAGATCTGTTTTCTTTTGGAAAAATCACTAATAATTAAATTTCAGGGCAAAATTTTTTTTATAAAAAAGCATCAGGTGAAGGATAAACTGATCTTCATCACTTCTTTTTAAAAACATACATTCGGTTTTATCTCAATCAAATAGAAGACAAAACACCATCCCTAGCTTTACATATAAAGGAGCAACAACATATAGGTATTTTATATACTTTAGTAACTTATCATCATTACTATCACATTGATATACTATCGACTCTAGTTTTAAACAAAGATAAGGGTGCTCTACAATTCCAAAAGATTACTAAAACATTCCCTTTATAAATTACACCTCAGACAAATCAAAAACATTCAAATGATACTTAAAAGTAAGTTATTTTTAAATTAAGTAATAAAACGTTTCACATACATGATGGAGAGTCTTCAAATCGAGTGCAAACATTAGTTGCTTTGGAGCTTTCTGTTAATAGTTCTTCATCCTCTTCTTGTTCTGTTCTACGGTGTCGGTAACTGTAAAGTTTAAAATAAATCAAACAATTTAAATTTTGAGCTACATTTCAACTTAACTGTTAAGTTTATCAATATTCCATTTTTTAAAAAGCACTTAGATAAAGCCTAAATAGTGAATTCCAGAAGTTATCAGTCAATTTAAATCTGAAATATTTTAAGCAGTTAAAAAATTATTATATCTTAGGTTATAGTACAGTACCTTAGGTTAACCCGGAAACCAACCTATCACCTTGTTTTTAGAAATTACTAAGTATTTTGACAGGAAAAAAGAGAGGTCTAAGAATTAAAATTTTCAAATACGGCTTTACCCCAAAATCTGTAAAATTGGGTCATAAGGTTTTAAGCAGTGATTCTCATCGGGATTCTAATGATAATTACACAAAACACTTTTTAAAATCATTTTATTGGGGGCCTGTAGAGCTGTATCACAATACATGTATACATCCATTGTGTTGTACATATATTGCCATATCATTTCCAAAACATTTTTTTACTTGAGCCCTTGATATCAGCTCAATTCTCCCCCTCCCCCATCCTCCCTCCCTGATGATCCCTTGATAATTTATATATTCTTTTCACATCTTACACCAACCACTGTCTCCCTTCATCCACTTTTCTATTGTCTGTCCCCCTGGGAAGGGGTTAGATGTAGATCATTGTGGTCAGCTCCCCCTTTCTCCTCCTTCCCCTCTGGGTATCACTACTCTCATTATTGGTCCTGAGGGGTTATTTATCTGTCCTGGATTCCCTGTGTTGTGAGCTCTTACCTGTACCAGTGTACATGCTCTGTTCTAGCTGGATTAGTTAAGGCAGAATTGAGGTCATGATAGTGGGGTGGTGGTAAACATTAAAGAACTAGAGGAATGTTGTATGTTTCATCGGTGCTATACTGTACCCTGACTGGCTGGTCTCTTCCTAGTGATGCTTCTGTAAGGGATGTCCAATTGTCTACAATTTGGGTCTACAAAAAGGCTTGGGGTCTCCACTCCGCATCGAAAACTTTTAAAATACACATGTCCAGCTATTACCCACAGAAGTCAAATATGTTTCCATAAAACTAATTTTCTGAAGCCCTATCTATTATTGAAGGTTTCTTAATCTCCAAAGGTTCTCATTCAGTAAAACTTACTACCCAATTCTGAAACTTTCCATTTGACAACTACACTTTCCATCAGGAGCCCCGGTGGTATGGTAGGCTACATACTGAGCTGCTAACCACATTAAGGTGAGTAGGATTTGAACCCACCAAGTGCTCTGCTCCTAAGGAGAAAATATGCTTTCTGTTCCTGTCAAAATTTAAAATTTCAGAAACCCAAAGGGGCAGTTCTATTCAACCCTATAAAGTCAATATGAGCTGGAACAGACTCTATGGCACTGAATTTGGTTTTAGTTTTTTTTTTCTTTAATAAAGATGTTTGATCTATAGACAATACACAATAAATTCTACTACTGAGATGTCTAAATCTATTTTCTACGTTACACACCAACCAAAAAAAGTTAGAATTAGTTGCACTATCCATTCCCTGACATCATTTCATGATGGTTGCTTCAAAACTACATGCTTGGTACCCCTTCCTATATAGGCTATATAAGTCACTATGGTTGTTATAACCAATAAATTATATAATGCTATAAAACTATGGCATTATGCATTCCAACTTAATTACACATTTATGGCTAAATCCTGTCAACCCAACTGGAAGTGGTAAAAAAATAGCACTGAAACTTTTTGTTGTTGCTAAATTAAAAAGTGATTTCGTGTCTCGTTTTCACTCGACTGCTGTACTACCAGTTGGTAGTACTCATCAAGCAGTATTGTGGAAGACCTGGAGATCTGCTTCTGTAAAATTATAGCTGAGAAAGCACTATGGAGCAGTTCTACTCTGAAACACCCAAGGTCGCCATTACTTGGATGAGACAGTTAAAAGTTTATTGTGCCAACCTGGCCGATAAACACATGTGGGATTAATTAAAGGGCAGAGAGATAAATGGCTCTGTAAGCCTCGCCTTTCAAGTTCTTGTGTTTCTTGCTTTCTGATGGTCAGACCAGGGTGCAGGTGCCTTAGCCAGTTCCCTGCTTCAGCTGGCAAGTCTCACTTCCTGCAAGACAACCCTGAGGAGATGCTGCATGGACCTACCCCGATGCAGCCCTGGGTGCTGGAGCACCCGTGTGGAGACCCCTGCCAGCACTGAGATGCTTACACGCTCACTGATTCGGCTTTCCTCCTGCAGTCGGCATCATTGCCTGTGTTTTGTGAGATGGAGGACTTCATGGATTGGTGACGGACATATAGGCTAATGTTGGACTTGGACAGCACTGGGTCGGGATGTTTTCTTGATGCTCACTTAACCTTTATTTAAAACTCTCTCTTATACATGCGTTTCTGTGGATTTGTTTCTCTAAAATACTCAGACTAACACACTTGGAATTGACTTAGTGAATAGCAAGGCTTTTACAGAACTGATTGTCAAAAATAAATTTTTAGATTATTTAAACCACTCATAATTACTCACTCGCCAACTGATAATAAGTTCTGTTTCTCATCCTTTTTTATTCGTGGACGTCCTGGCTTCATCTTCAAAGGTGAAGTTGGCGTCTTCTGAGCAGCAGGTTGAATGAAATGTGCAAATAGTTCCGTCTGCTTCAATAAATACTCAAATCTATTTGCACGGTCAGTTTGCTGAAGAAAAAAATTTAAAGATACATTTGATCAGCCTCTCAATAAAACTTCAGATTATCAAATTTTCGAGGTGCCTCCATTTAATGAACTCAGCAATAAAAAAGAACAAATTACTGACCCAAGGATGAATGTCAAAAAGATGTTAATCTTAACAAGCCACATAGGAGAGACTACATATGAGAGCTCAAAAACAATAGTGAATAACTGAAAGATAATGGCATATTCTCCCTATCGTACATGATTAAACCCAGTATTATTCTACTTAAATCAAACCCTAAAAATGGCAAAATGAACGAAAGAAAACCGATCAGACATGATAGGAATAAGGAAATGAATGTAAGGGGCAGGAGCAAACTTCACTTTGGTAAACCCACTTCTCATCATCATGACAGGTCAAACCCGGTCTTTGAAAGTCAATCATTACTGCCACAAAATCCCAGAACCCTGTACTAAGCAAGAGCCTGACTGAGAAACAAGTATTTCTCAGTACATCTGCCACCCAGGGCTACACACTTCTGAAGCTGCCATGTTCATTTCTAACCCTTCCACGAAGAATTCTGCACTGGATTTACACCATGTCAAAAAGGCATCTAGGGGCTCAAACTGCATTCCTTTTAAATGCTGTTTTGAGAAAGAAAATTTGAAAGGTGAAAACAAGGAGATGCGGTAAAGTTTCCAGCATTCTCACAGCACAGCGCTTCTTAGCCCTTGCAAGCATGAATAAGCAGGTACACTACGATGGAAGAGATTCCTAGGCACAGCTTTCCTGGCCTATTTCTCACCTGAGCAGTTTTCAAGTTTCACAAATTTCTAACAAGACCCTGTGATCATCTGTGACCTTGAAGGAAGTCTACCAAGGTTTTCATGTATACATTTGGAAATCTTAGAACAGCTGACCTCTCCAACTGCCTCAAGTACAACTTTTGACTGGACTTTTTAAGTACTCTAATGAGACTAGTCTTCCACTGTTTAAAACACATTTTGTTTGAAATAAATCTGTCTGCATGAATTGAAACCCTAGTAGCAATGCTTTTACTTACCCTGTGTATTTCACTGAATTATAGGCATAAAACTACTGCATTTATATCATACAATACAGCCCCCCACTCAAAAAAAAAAAAAATTTAGAAGTCAGACACTGAACAATAAAAGTAAATATATTCAGCGGTAGAGGGAAAATTCATTCAAGAGCTAAGTCTACTGGACTAGTGCCAAAGTTTAAAGTTATCAGTTTGAAAAAAATGTTTTAGATCGTGAAGTATTAACTCATTTGTTGGTATCAAAACCACTCCTTCCTTTCATATCTGCCACCTGTCACACTTTTAACTATTCCCTACTAGCAAATGTTTGAAATTTCCGCTTTTAGAATGAATTTTTAAAAGGTAAAAGGCATCCAAACACTGTAATGCTGCAAATGGAACATATTTTTTAAAGCAGAACTCCACTTTAAAATATCACACCACTGTAAGAGTTTAAGACCAACTTACTATGTAGAAAGTATGTAATCTTTCTACATCGCAATGGCAAAAGGTTGTTAAAGAAATCCAATCTGTACAATAATAGCAGTGAGACACCCTAATGAAAGATGAACACATTTCTTGCTGGTAATGTTCTATACACATAAGACTCAGCCCTTTTTCTTTTTGAAAATTACAAACTGATTAAATATTAAACTGACACGTTTTTCTTTCCAATGGGGAAAAAAGCCCAAAACATGCATGCAACTCTAAGATGTTGAGCATGAAATAAAGCTGTATGCTTAGAATTATATAAACTTTGGAAATCAACACGGATGATATTTGGGTTCTCAGACATTAAAGAAATGTTTTTGAATAAAAGCTTTTCTACAGTATTCAAAATGGCTGAAGAGGTCTTCACTATTTCAAAACATTTCCAATCAGCAATATCATCTTTAAAAGTTGTTCAATTCAACAAATTCTGTTGTGTGTCTATCAGAAGTGAAGTACTTTATTTCCATGTAAAGTTTTCATTACCATCCAGTACTAAAAAGAAACAATCGGTCAATTATGTACATTTGTCAGAAGGTTTAAGTATTCAAAATTAAAATAAAGCAAGGTTAAGGAGCTAAGGATGGGGAGTGGAGTGGTACTAAAATTTTTACCAAAATGGTCACAATAAGCCTAACTGAGGTGATCTTTCATGACAGACAGGGGCCTGAGGAGGGGTGAGATGTAAAACTCTTAAGATCACACCTTTCTAAAAAAAGGAACTTTCAAGGGGCTCCAAATGTCTTGCGATAATACTTGTACTATATGTGAATTATATGTCAATAAAACTGTTAAACAAACAAAAAAGAGAAATAACCTATGAATGCACACAACATCATAGGTACCCTCAAAATCACTAAGCTAAGTGAAAAAGAGAAAAGATGGTGACGTACAGCCTTGGAAACCCACAGGGGCAGTTCCACCTTGAACTACAGGCTCACCATGATGTGGAACGGAATTGATGGCAATGATGAAATGGAACTGCTGAGCAACACTGAATGCAATTGAGTAAAAACTAAATTTACCTTGTTCTCCATCAGTACTATTACTTAGTTTCCATCAGTAGTGCTCAGCATCCTGGATTCAGAAATTGAGCAGATAGCAAAACTTGCTTATAGTTAGAAAGTAGCAAATGAGAAAGTGAGTTAGTTAATTGTGCCAGCCTGGCCGATTATCACATGTGGGTCTGGTTGAAAGGCGGAGGGATAAATGGGTGGTGAAGCCTCGCCTTTCTAGTTCTC